ACAAGGATGGGTTTATTACACCGCATACGTCCTTGACCTGGAATCACACAAATAACTGCAGATAAATGGCCTGAAAGCGCTGTCTGCTCTGCTTATCTGCTCTTTATCTCGTGACAGTGGGGAGTGAGTGGACGGTTCAAAACCTGGGGTGTAGGGAGCCCCTGGTACACCACGGGGATCCAGCTTGCCCCCAACAGTGGCGCACCCAGATTTTCTTTTTATAGGGGTGGCCAGATGGGGCCACTGAAAGTCTTGGGTTGGCATGCCAAGACCAAAACTGAATTTCAGAATTCTGTTAAGCTGTTGAAGTGGCCCTGTCGCCATAGCTCTTCAATCAGTATAGCTAGTTAAATATGACCCTGTCTACATGTCTAAAGTTATTTTTGTCAACGAGTATTTTCGTCAGTGTTTTAAAGCAGCACTTACCTTTCTGGAAATTTTACACTTTTCTTTGTTTAGGTTAAAATGCTATTAATAAGCTGATGGCACACTAAAATTTAAGTGAATTCCACCAGAGATAAAAAAAAAACCCCTCATAATTGTACCATTCTCATATGGTTCTAAGAAAACTCCGAATGCAATGATCACTCGAGCACCCTGTCTATCTTCCCCATGTGGAGGCCTCCGACTGACATAACCACTCGCGTAACATCTCAGGGATCCAGGTGGCCCCCAACAGTGGCGCACCCAGATTCTCTTTTTATAGGGGTGGTTAGATGGGACACTGAAAATCTTGGGGTGGCACACCAAGACCAAAACTGAATTTCAGAATTCTATTAAGCTGTTGAAGTAGGCCTATCACTATAGCTCTTCAATCAGGATAGCTAGTTAAAATATATGACCCTGTCAACAGGAATTTTTTTCAGCGTTTGGGCACTAAAACTGAGCTTTTTAAAATTGCCTTCTAAGGTGCCAGTTTTCAAAACTCCAGGTTACTGTTTAACGCCATGTTCACACTGGACACGGAAGCGCCGCAAAGCATACTTATTTTCTGTGGAGCACCTCCCGCTTGCTTTTGGCACCCCTGTCAACTGATTGGGCAGTTCACACTGGACGTGCTGCTGAGTGCTCTGGCCAGCTTGCAATCTGCAGTGGTACTTTATATGCCAGTGAGAGAACATAGCGGGAACACTGTAGCATTTTATACTAAGTGCACCTGTTAAGCAAATGGCGGCTGTAATACATCATGTGAAACCACGTGGGTGGAAATGACTTGTCAGCTACGTGCTCACCGCCACGCAGGCCTGGCTTTATCTGCCTGTTACTTTTATTTCACCTTCACTGTTGCCCTATGAACTGTCTGGAGCATCTGAGGTTATCTAAACTGTTACAGATGGACATGAATAAAATCACATGACCATTCTTCAAAGAGGAAAACTTTTGTATATCTAGATTTTCTTTTCGAAAATGCTTGGAACATTGGTGCTTTCTACCAAAACAGCCCACGTTTTCACCAGTTTTGAGCAGAACTATTGTAATCAAGGATGCAGGTTAATTGATTAAAAAATTATTTTTTGGTTGAAATGCTTCAAACAGTTCAAAATTAGGTGCATGAAATGCAACTGAACCTGTTCTATGTTGATGAAAAATGGGTGTTAATGGATAGCCGCCTTCCTCACCAACAGACCCCAGGATGTTGGGATTGGCACAAGACACAAACTTCCACAATAAAACACCTTGTCCAGGTGTCCCTCAAGGCTCTGTGCTCAGCCTCCCTTTTGTTCACCCTGCAAAGCCATGACCGCATCTCACTGGAAGCGAATAAAGTTTGCAGACAACACTGGCCAGATTGCAAGCAACAATGATGAATCATACTGGGAAGAGGTCATGAACCTTGTACTGGGCGTGCCACCAAGCGTTCTGGCCAGCTGCAATCTGCAGTGATAGTTTCTGCGTCTAGTCTATTTTTTCCACAAGTGGCAGGTGCATCTGGCTGGAAAATACACTGAAACTGTATTGTAAATGATACAAAGGCTATAGTAGACATGGTATAAATCATCTAATTATGATAAATGATAAAATATGGTTCCACATATTGTCAATTGTGTCTGAAGAGAGCGCAAGAGAGACGAGTGGACACACACACAAAGGCATGCACGCACAAGCAGACGGACAGAGCTCTTTACATTAGAGCAGAACTGCTTGCCGACTGGTGCGAAGAAACGCACTTCTAATGTGAGCAGCCAGACGACTGCTGACAGGCAGCTGTGCTACAATTAACAAATTGGGGCACGTGTCCAGTGTGAACCCTGTGTAACTGTGTGGATGTGATTCGCACATGCCTATTGTGGCTCTGAGTAATGAGCATATGCTAGAAACAATGGTGGACTACTGGTTTGCTAACATTTTGTTAGCACTGCTTGGTCTGTTGACTAAATTACACTTAAACTGCACAACTGCACTACTTCATGGACAAACTGAGGCATCTGCTGCACCCAGTGTTTTCGCTCCACCTCATCGTTTGCGGGTTAAAGTCTGGCAGAAACAACAGTTTTGGATCAGTAGATAGTTGGACACTTTCGAGAGTAAGATTTTGTAGATAAGGATTGAAAGGCAAACTTTCGCATGTCCAGAGCATCACTCATACACTGCCTGGCCAAAAAAAAAGTCACCACCAAAAAAAAAGGTCATACACTCTAATATTTCGTTGGACCGCTTTTAGCTTTGATTACGGCACGCATTCGCTGTGGCATTGTTTCGATAAGCTTCTGCAATGTCACAAGATTTATTTCCATCCAGTGTTGCATTAATTTTTCACCAAGATCTTGCATTGATGATGGTAGAGTCTGACTGCTGCGCAAAGCCTTCTCCAGCACATCCCAAAGATTCTCAATGGGGTTAAGGTCTGGACTCTGTGGTGGCCAATCCATGTGTGAAAATGATGTCTCATGCTCCCTGAACCAGTCTTTCACAATTTGAGCCCGATGAATCCTGGCATTGTCATCTTGGAATATGCCCGTGCCATCAGGGAAGAAAAAATCCATTGATGGAATAACCTGGTCATTTAGTATATTCAGGTAGTCAGCTGACCTCATTCTTTGAGCACATACTGTTGCTGAATCTAGACCTGACCAACTGCAGCAACCCCAGATCATAACACTGCCCCCACAGGCTTGTACAGTAGGCACTAGGCATGATGGGTGCATCACTTCATCTGCCTCTCTTCTTACCCTGATGCGCCCATCACTCTGGAACAGGGTAAATCTGGACCAGACCACATGACCTTCTTCCATTGCTCCAGAGTCCAATCTTTATGCTCCCTAGCAAATTGAAGCCTTTTTTTCCTGTTAGCCTCACTGATTAGTGGTTTTCTTAAGGCTACACAGCTGTTCAGTCCCAATCCCTTGAGTTCCCTTCGCATTGTGCGTGTGGAAATGCTCTTACTTTCACTATTAAACATAGCCCTGAGTTCTACTGTTGTTTTTCTTCGATTTGATCTCACCAAACGTTTAAGTGATCGCCGATCACGATCATTGAGGATTTTTTTCCGGCCACATTTCTTCCTCGAAGACGATGGGTCCCCACTATCCTTCCAGTTTTTAATAATGCGTTGGACAGTTCTTAACCCAATTTTAGTAGTTTCTGCAATCTCCTTAAATGTTTTCTCTGCTTGATGCATGCCAATGATTTGACCCTTCTCAAACAGACTAACATCTTTTCCACGACCACGGGATGTGTCTTTCGACATGGTTGTTTAGGAAATGAGAAGCAACTCATTGCACAGTTGGGGTTAAATAACTTGTTGCCAGCTGAACGATAATCGCCCATGCAGTAATTATCCAATAGGAGGCTCGTACCTATTTGCTTAGTTAAATCCAGGAGGCGACTTTTTTTTTGGCCAGGCAGTGTATGTTTGAATGAGCTCATTCATCCTTAAATTGAATGGGAATCAACAGTTAGGTAGTTTTTTTTTTTTTTTGGAAAGGTAGTCTGTACAGTTTACCAACTTTGTAATGAGATAGACTGCTAAAGACAGCTGACATTGGCAAGCATTTGGAGTTGCCTTTGCATTCTGGTGTGCAGAGAGATGTTTTGTAAAACAAAGGCTGTGTGGACAGAATTTATTTTTAAAACTGAGGAGGAAAAATATCCATTTTCAAAAATATCTGTATATGTGTAGTCAGGGCCTGAGTTAATACCGCTAGAGTTAACGTTTTGAGTCCCATAACAATCCACATGTTAGGCGATTCATTGTTTTTCAAAAAGGCTGGTTGCCTTATTCCTTAAGAAGACAAATATATAGCTTTAATTTGAAGGAATTTATTGATTGAAAGAAGCAAAACAATTACTGGGATCAAGCCTTCTCAGGTGTAGAGCAGACTCGTGGGTACCCACAGATATCTTGAGGTGAGAGTTCAAGGGACCATGCCCCACCTGTCCCTCCTGTAGAGGCGCCACTGCCCCCCAAACACATTTACTTTTACTTTATCAACTAGAGTTGTCTTACGCAGTTATTGAGTGTTTTGAATGAGTATGTTGTGATTTTTATTTATCTGCCTTCAGTAAGGTAATTGTGCTCTCACAGGGGTGTAGCTAGGAATTCTGGCACTCCAATAGATCCTAATGAAACTTTCGGGCCCTCACTGGCTGTAGACCCTATAATATTAAACACAAACCTTACCCAATGGCACTGTGGCTGTGGGGGAATAAAAATTTATAAGGGCATGTTTGTGCTTTAAAGACTGTCTGTGTCCATAATGAATGCGCAGGTGCCATCAGAAAATGGTTTTTGTTTGATTGCTCACATATTAGTGACAGGACACAATAAAGGATTAACCAGCAATGTGTCATGTGTGCTTATGCTTCCAGCAAACCCATAGGAACTGGTGCCAACAGGATGCTAGTGCAGCACTTGTCAAACAGACCACAACGAGAACCATTTCTGAACAAGCTCATAAAAAGCCCACAGAAATAACAGTGCTGTATTGGGTGTTGGGCGACATCTAGTGGACACTGTTTATACCAACAGGTCTGCACAAGCGATCACACTCACACCACCATTAGTAAAACACAGCTTTATATATTTCATAACAGAACAAATACAACAAAGTACAATGTCAGATTCAGTGCAACATCAAGCTGTAATAAATATCCATACCTTTAACTTAAATCACCAAATGGCGGTAATAAATAACACTCAAATAAATACTCTCAGACAAACATTTTTGAGGTGTGAGGATAAGAAAGACAGAAGTTTGGAATATCAAAGACTGAAGTTTAAATTACACCTGAAGAACTGGCCTCCCACAGCCAGCGTGACAAGCTATCGTTTCGTCCAGTCACAAACAGCGCTGCACTTGCATTAGATGTTGCAAAACCCTCATTAAATAAACATTTTCTGATAAAAGCTCATTAACTCTGAAGAACAGAACAGACATAAATGATCTCACACAGATTTCCCTTAGGAACACATTCACAGATTAATATTGTAATATGGCTTGTAACAAAAGCTTTAATTATATAACAATAAATAACACTAACCTGCAATGGGGACAGCTGCCTATCAACCTAAATGGAAGGCAGTTAAGCAGACTTATCTTTTAGACATGACTGCATCTGCGTCTACCCTCTTCCCCTCTCTCTCTATATATATAAAATCTCTTATTCGGAATATGTGATAGTTTATTTAAGGCGCGATTAAATAGAGGATGGCAGTCACTCTGTTTAATTCATGTATTTGTTATTTTTGTCATAAATATAATTCAGTCATATCCAAACAGTGGCTTGAGAGACATGATATAAAAGTGAGAGAAATTTTGGGTGTTTTCACATTTGTCCCTGCCTTCCAAGCGGACCCAGAGTGATGAGTCAGCATTTTTTTGCGCATATGCAAACACAAAAACAAAAAGTGGTCTGAGTACGGTTCACTTCAAGTCCGCGTTGAAGTTCACTGATCCTACGCGTTTGTAAACACAAAGCGCTCCAGGTTTGCTTTGCCCTTTGCCATTGTATTTTAGCCCTCTAGATCACATGCTATTGCACTGGGATGCTTAAAAAAACAGACAAGATGAATGAATAATGTCGGTTGGCAAGGCGAGCAAGGAGGGGGATGAGGAGCGGTTTGGTCGGCGGAAGAAACTACTGCACTACTCCAGGTATGGAACGAAGGACACCTCAAACGGCAACTGTAAGGCACAGAGACGCTGAGGTTTTCTTACAACTTTCAGTTCGTATGAAAGTGAAAGGCTTCATAACTGCACTGTAAATGCGATTTACCACCTCTGTCTCTGTCTCTCTCAATATAACTAAAATTATTATTACTACATATATATAACCAAAGCAGGAAAAGGTCTGAGTTTCAAAGGAGCTGTAGTGTGAACAGAAAGTAGACCAAGACAGAGTGGAAGTTGACCAGACAGAAAACTAAATCCTCTTTTAAATGAACTCAAAATGTGAACGCAAAAAGAACTGATTCCCTTTTCTGTCCGTCCACTTTTTGGTCCACTTTAAGAGGGGGAGTGTGGTTTGTTAAAGACGGACTGTATGTGAAAACACCTTTACAGAAAGGAGAAGATATCTGGGAAGCTATTTTGTGCAATTTTCGTCTCAACTACAGCATCTGACATTATGAAAAGGTTCGGCAGGCCTCACTGGCTTCATAGATGCAAAACTGACTCTGTTTTTTTAAAATCGCCTTGTCTCATCGTCAAAAAGACCAGGCTATAGATCCTGGTGGAGGTCACTGTGTGAGAAAGGTTGGTAATGCTCATCCATGCTCGACTTAGCTCGATGCCTCTGAGCAACTAGTCTCTGGTAGCGGGCCTGCTGATGATGGTCTGGGTCCACATTTACCCAGCTGTTGGCCATCCACTTCAGTCCGCGCCTGACTGGGCAGTCACCGTGCAGGGAATACTCATCTAGCTCACCCATCCAACCTGGAGGAGATGAACAGTATTTAAGGATGATTGGAACTTTCAGGGACAACACTGGATGATTTAAGGACAAAAATGAGTTTTTTTTCTCACTAGGTTTACGTGTTTGATGTAGGCGACACATTTTGGGATTAAAAGGGAGACCAGAATTTATGGTAAGTTATCACCTCTGCAAAGTGTGTGCAAATGACACAAAGCCTTCTGTTCTTACCTCTGCCATCGGAGAGATGGTTGTACCAGAGGAGAGCTGTCCCGGCGGTAGGTTTTATTCTCATGTTCCCTCTGCCACATGTCTCCTGGGTGTCTGTCAAATCAACTCCATCCTGTACCAGTGCCTAGGACACACAACACTGTCAACAGCTTGTGTCTAATCATTTATTTTGGCACACTATGTTCACTTGGGTGTCAGATTCCTTGTCATGGATCAGCACTGTCTGCAGGTTAACAGCAGCATTCAGGTCACGTACAGTTCTCATCATTTCACAATGGCAAAAAAAAAAAAAAAGCTTTGCTGGTTTATGACTGTGAGTTGTGAAAACACGCCCACCTGCTCTTCGTAGGTACGGTTGTCTGCCACAGGAAAGGTAGTCTCGCCACCTTCTTCTACAGAGCTGAGGTAGAACAACACGGTAAGATACCTGGAATACAGAAATCAACAAACACACACAATGGTGAAAAAAATGTCTTCCTGTAAAGAAACGTTATTTTGTTTTACGCGCCAGCACTGTGAGTGTTCAAAGTGCACAGGCTGACCATGATGCACTAGTCGAATTAGACCGAATGTAGTTTATTTTTCGACATAGTCTCCCTTGCTGTCTACACACTCCTTCCATCTATGGTGCAGCGCTTGGACCCCCTTGGTAGAAGCTCTCATCCTGAGGGTCAAAAAAGCCTGCAACAGCACATATGACCTCATCCTCAGTCCGATACTGCTTCCCAAACAAGTGTTTTTTCATGTTGGCGAACAGAAAATAGTCAGATGGTGCCAAATCAGGAGAATATGGAGGGTGATCAACCTGTTCAAAGCCACAGTCATGCACAGCAGCCATTGCAAACACAGCGCTGGAGCATTGTCCTGATGAAACAAGACTCCCTTTGTCAGTTTTCCTGGCCGTTTTGTCTTGATCGCCTTTCGCAGCTGCCTCAGCAAGTCGGCATAGTACTGTCCTTTGATTGTTTAGCCCTTCTGAAGGTAGTTAACGAACACAATGCCTTTTGCATCCCAGAAAACTGACGCCAGCACCTTCCCTGTCAGTGACACCACGTTGGCCTTCTCCCCTGCATGGACTGCCTTTTTGTCTCTGGCTCGAAAGTGGTGGACCCAACCCTCACCCTGGGTTAGGAGACATTCAAGAAAACCAGCTCAAAACGTGCCAAGTTCTCCTGCGACATTACCAGCCTGGTGTGCTTAGGATCAGGGGTCAAAAGACGTGGCACACACCAAGCTGAAAGATACCAAGTGCATTTTGCAGAATGTTTTCTACTTTTTCACAGGAGAAGCTTACAGCATTAGCTTTCTGATTAACAGTCAAACGTCTGTCATCCATCACCATGTGGCGAACAAGATCAATGTTTTCTTGGGTGATGGCTGTGGCAGGATGTCCGGACCTTGGGTCATCTTCAAGGCTCTCCCTTCCCCTCTTGTATTCAGCTGATTTGAGGGCATTAAATTATACATTTTTTTTATTAAAACCTAAATATAACAAGGCTTTAACTTGACGACAGCTTCTCTTGTTTAGTAGCAACAGTAGTAACAGCAGACTGACTGCAGTAAACATTAACAATAAAGGAGAGCGGGTGTAAGTATTGAAACTGTTTCAAATATGCAGAATCAATATGTATCAATAGATAAGTATAGATTTTGAAAACACTAGAAGTCATATATTATAAACCTGTGCATCAGTCAGGGTGGTCAAATGAAAAGCTTAGCTCATCTGGAGATAACTAACGTCAAACTATCAATATTTGGAAAGTAACTGAAAATAAACTAAATGGAAAATACATATCAAACGTACCTGCATGAGACCTCTGTGAGGGCAGATGCGTTTCCCGCCAGTCGTGTGTGTGCGCAGGTAGTCTCTAAATGGGAAGGGCTGCTATCATGGTGGGCGTTACTGAAGTCTCCGAGCTCATAACGAATCACCTGCAGCGGCTCACTCAGCTCAACCAATGCAGAAGGCAGACGTGTCAGGCTGATTACCCTGAGCAAAAGATAGAAGAGAGCAAAATTAGAGATGCACCGCTTGTAATTTTCTTGGCCGATTCTGATTTTTGATTTAAGTCTAACCTGCCGATTCAGATTTCCTTTCTCAAACTATAACTGAAAGCACGCAAATATTTTTGTAACTTCTCTGTGATGAAAATTCACTTGAATGTTTGTAATACAGAACATTTTCTCCAAGACTGCACCAGGTTACTGGACAGAGCTTCTTTGTATAAATAAAATCCAACTAAAAATGAATTGCGGTATATCCCTCTACATATGCTCAAGCTAATTCTTTACAAATCAGAGAAGAAGAAGCAGAGAACATATGACTATATACTGTGTATGTAGACCTATTACACGCTCAACTATTAATTATTTATCTCAAACAAAACTATTTATGGCTCAGTATCTATTTGCAGTTGTACATTAAGTCCCACTCCTGCAGCGAGCAGCATCATCATTCCTGCTCCATTGTGTGTGTAAGGCACCAGAGGAGAAGAGAGAGCTTGCACTGCTGGCAGAGGAGGAGGTCAGTGTGATAACTCTGAGCAGCATGCATGGTAATTAATTACAACTTTACCCCTGATGGTTTGAATAAGTTGACAAATGTCTTTTTTTAACATCTTGGAGATAAGTTGCAGCATCCGTGACAAGCATTGGTTACTGACTGTGCCGCTCTGTGCACGAGGTGAGCCATCATGTGCTGTATGCATGTACATTTGATCAGCACAGAATCGGCTAAATCTGAGGGTGTTTTCAGACCTAGAGTTGTCTTACTTTGTCCGAATCAGGGACCTATTATGTTGCAAAGTTGCATAATTGCCTAGAGTTGGTTCATGTTTTCACGGCAGCATTTACAAGCGGACCAGGTGAAATGCCCTGTGCGAGAAAGCTGCTCTTGATTGGTCAGAATTTCCATGTGGTAAAAATCCAGGAAGTAAACAAAACATTGAGGAAGAATACACTTGCAGGATAAATGTGACACTTTCTAATGTCAAAATGGAGGGACAACTACGCAGGGTGATTTTAGCTCTGGTCATCGTGTACTACATTGTTTGCATTGGTCACTTTAGGCAACTAGAAAACAATGTTTTGATGCATTGGATGTGCTGAATGTGCATATTATAGTACAGGAGGAGGTGCACATTAATAATCCTCCAGGACTGTAACTCATGTGACTGCAGTTGGTTCGGATCAAGGTTGGAACACATTCTCACCACAAACGAACCGCACTAGAGTTAGTTTGTTTTGGTGTGCGCCTGAGTGTGATTGCTATGTTCACACCTGCCTAAAAGAACTGCACTTAGGGGACGAACAAACTTGGGTTTGATTGAACTGAATCAAACAGGACAGGTGTATGACTGGCTGGCCAGTCACCGTTTACGTCCCATCAAGCTGAAAATTGGCTGATTCTCGTCACTAGCTGATCGATCAGTGCATTTCTAATTAAAGTACAGGTATAGTTTAAATCATGAATGTATGGGCCACTGTTGTAAGGTTATGACAAAGTGTGTGTAGGTGACTGCAGTTACCTGTTCCTGATGGTCTGCAGCACGTGGTGAGATCCTGGGCCTTGGTAAAGCCACGTATGTTTGTTTCTCTGTTTGAACTGACTCCGGATCTTCCCACTTCGCTGTTGTCCTGGGCGCTGGGACACATCATAAACATGTCTGAAGTCCTCCAAAGTCAGCATCCCTGCCAGGACCACAAGCACACACACACCCACACACACGCAATCGTTTAGTAAACTATTTTTATTCCTTCATGTAGCTGGAAGCCTGGGACATAAAAGTACAGTACAATATAACCTCAGAGCCACAGACATGAATGGAGCTCTGTGAAATTACCACTCTTTCAGACACGCAGTATCACAATTCCAGTTCAGTTTAATTTCATCTTGAATTCTTGGACAACGTTCTGAACAGTAGACTGTAACAGCCTCCCTTGTCCCTTTTCCTCCATTCCTTCCCTCTTGTCCAACCGTGAGCTGTTACTCTCAGCTGAATGAATGTCTGACCCCCATCAGTTCCCCTGGGAGACCGCGCCCCAGCCGCAACAATAGCTCTGGGGTGCCAGAGAAGAGGTGGCCAGGGAGGGGGGTGGGCTGATGAAAGAGTAGTGGAGGAGGGAGTGGGGGGTTAGCGGGGGATCCGGGGGAAAATTAAGAATAATCAGTTTTTAATGAGATAGGATGAAGCACATCCGGACTGGGATGTGTAACGCCTGGCACAATAGCACTAGGTTAAAACGGTGTCACCCCTCTTCCGGCCTTGCCACTCACAAAGACTGGCACACTACCACAGCCACCCGTCAGCCACTTACGCTTACCAGTACACAGCCACTGCAGAAACACTCACTGAATAAAACTCCTAGAAAGCTGTCTTTTGAAAGTACAGAAATCAGATAGATAGATATCTATGACACAAAGACCTCAATCATAATTCTGAAAATTTCCTTTCACTTGAGGAAGTTACATTTCAAATGATGGTTAAAAGACAAACACACATAAGCCAGAGGGAAACTAACCTGTTGGGCAGGCTTCCAAACCGGTGAGTATCTGCCGCAAGTTGTCTGGGTTCAACCAAGTTCCGTCCTGAGAGCGCGAGTGACTCACAATCTGGAGGAGAGACCAGGATGCTTAACATGTTCCGACAGTTCAACTAATTTTTCATTACCAAGAACTGATTTCTCTGGAAATCTATTTCCCTCCTACAGCACTATGGCATATTGATATAATGTCACCTCCTGCTTCTGCAGCAGCCCATCCTGGTTCAGGTCCAACAGACTGAAGACCTCCTCTGTGCTGAGAGAAAGTAGTGGCTGGGTGGACTCCTCTTGTCCCTGGCTGTATGCTGTCGTCTGGCTCTCCATCAGACCCTTGAGCTGAGCCAGCTGCACCACCACACGGCACTCCTCCTCTGACAGGAAGCCAGGGATCTCTGACAGGATCAGGAGAAAAAAAAAAACAAAACAACAGTGGCGAATGTTAAAACACATTGCGATATTGGATATGCACGGTTAGATGCTGCCAGTTTGAAATGGAGACACTTTTTTTCACATACTCAACCAAATCATGTGATACATGAAATTTTAGTCGCTGATTTTGTGAAGCACAAATGAAATGGCACACTGAGCAGCTAAATACAAAATTATGGAAATGAAAGGCTGATATTATCATAATACCAGTGTGGCCCTCTGTCTACCCAAGATTAGAGTGAGGATCAACGATATACATTATACAAAAGAGAGTGCCTTGGAGATTATGCAACACTTAATTCACGTGTCTCATGAAAATTCCCACTCGCAACCTTTACTGCACACCTGAGACGGTGAGTGAGTGATCTGATTAACAGATCAGTGCGGGCTTGATCTGTTAGACTAAATGGATTAATTCCGATCGCCTAACAAAACCTTTCAGTGTGAAGGGGCAATTGTGAGACAGTTTGATCAGTGTATGCTAATAGCGGTCTGATTGGGATGTGTCGGCTCTAAAAAGCAAGACAAATCCCCTAAACTTCTTAACATGGTGCATTAGTAAAACACTCTCATTGAAACACAGACTCATAACAAGCTAATTGTTTTAGCACCTCTTGTTTTATCTGTCCTAAATTCATTTACATGTCATAATAAGCCAGACTACAGGAACACAGAGTTAGATATCAGAATTAGAATTATAAGCTATTTTCATCACATACAGTTTGCTGTGGGAAACCGCTATGTGCTAATTAATTATACCTTTCTTTCTTGCATGTGTCACAGGAACTCTTAAGTGAATGTATACATACACTGTGTATATAATGAGTACAAGTTATTCCCCTCTGTCATTCCCCACAGTGCCATTTGTGGTATAGCCTGTCCCATGGGCAGGTTTAATGAGTGATGGCACTGGACTTCTCCCAGAGCGTGGAAACAGTGTGAGCTTCTGGGAGTCAATAATTGCTGAAATTAATAAGTGCAAAGCGCTAAAAGAATCAGACTTGGTGTATATTCTCATTTACACCTATTACGTTTACGAGTACTGTTGTTGAAAGCCAACCCACATCAAAACAGTCTGCAGATTCTCTTATTTTGAGATCTGTCCCTAAATATTTATTTTGCTTGCTCCACCGGGAATTTTCCTAGAAAATTAGTTACACCAGAAAGCGAAGTCATATTTTATTTATTCTATTAGACACATTTATTTAACGTTACTGTTCCATGGTTCCCGCCTGTTCTTGTCATTTCCCCTCCTAATAAAAGGCTTCCGGCAGGTTGGCTGCCTGTACAGTAGAGACCTTGTTTGTCACCCGTGTCTTTTACACTGTACCCACTTGGTTAATCCCTATTGTCCAGTCAAGCCTCATTAATCTGGATAACTGATATGAATGAAGGGGGACTGAGCCCTCCTCTTCTCCCTCCCGCCACTGTCTCTCTCTCCCCCGGAAAGGAAGTGACCTGCTTGTCTGAACAGGAATCAGGCCATGGCTACGCAGCAGGACGACACCAGTTTTGTTTGTGTCCTACACACGTTTATGTGTGTCCACGCCAACGCACAAGTAGCACGCACTAGAGCACTAGTCTGCTGATTATTTTCTCCATTAACTCATTTACAGTGGAAGTGGATGTCCTAAAGTGTCTAAACCCCCCCCAAAATGTTCAGTTTAGTGTAATGAGTGTAATGTAGCACAAGAAAAAACTCTTATCTCACACTAGAGAAGATGCAGTCAGTGAATTATGGGCCCTTTTTCCCCCCCAAAAAATGTCTTAATTGTTCCTGTTTAATTTTCTGTCAGTAAACTAGTAGCTGCATTTTTATAGAGAGTTTCTGCATGTTGATAATCTTGTCTTGGAGGGTTACAGCTGTAGCTCTGGGCAGCATAATTGTCTCCTTGCTATTATGGGCATCTTTGGTCTCTCTTGAGCAATAATTATTTAAAAAAAACATTAAATCTTTCCCTTTTAGCAAGAGAGGAGGACTTAAAAAAGAAGTGGAAAAGCAAAGAGGTCAGGGAGGAAAAGGGTAGTTAGCTGTGGGTTGGAGGAAAATGTGGGATGGAAGGATGGAGGAGTTTCTCAACAGCTGTGGGGATGGAAATGGCAGACAGCCAAAAGTATCCAAATGCCAAATCATGCACCTTACTGATCCTGGGCTCTGTCAAACACACTTAAATCTGTTGATAAATGCAAGTGGATCCACATTTCTAACAACATATTAATGTGTGCCCCACCCCTTTTCCCTACTAGTCTCTACACCTCCCCTTACCCTTTCCTATGCAAATGTAATCACCGCCCACTATAAATACACCTATTCTGCTCCCCTCTCCTGCACTGTCACACAGGGGTCTTCATTCACTCAGGAGGCAAACTTTAGGATTTCTCCTTCTTTCCAACTACTGTCACAGGATGACTGCAGCACTATGCCCTCATTTTATCAGAAAGTCCTCCCATTCAGCCTCCCTACTATTTCTCCTTCTGCTTGCTGGGCCCAGCAGCACAGTAGCGCTTGGTCCTGGGAAAGTAAAGGCAGGGCTGGAGGGACGAGCGCGGGCTGAAGGCAAGGTTAGATCTGGAGTAAAGGACAAGGGCGGGGACAAGGCGAGTATTGACGGCAACACTGAAACTGGATTTGGAGATACTCGTGTGTCTAGACCGGGAGCTGCAGCAGGAGAGGATGGTGAGGTGTGGGGGGATCCTGGTGCTACCACTGGCTTCAGGTCCATGCTTTCTATAGGCGAAGGTGGACTGTGGGAGCCTCGCAGCTCCTCTCGCTGTGTCCCTATCCCGTCAGGCATGGCCTTGTGCCAAAGCATTGGATATGACACCATGAGGATGCCCAACCTGCTGGGCCACGAGTCTCCAGCTGAGGCTGTACAACAGAGTGCAAGCTGGCTGCCACTACTTGCCAGAGAGTGCCACCCTGATGCCCGGATCTTCCTCTGCTCTCTCTTTGCACCCATCTGCCTCGACAGGTAAGTTTATACGATAAAGCTTTTTGCTATCATCATATAGTGTTGAATAGGGCGATAGGAGTCATGATTTTAGTAAGAATCTGTATTTCATTTTCACTGAAAAGAATTAAAATAATAATGATGATGTTTTATGATGTGATTTTTGCAGGGGTCTGTACCAAACAAGCGTGTTCTTTTACATCTGCAATATGATTTGTAGGCCAGGGCATCTCTCTGACACCACAGTGCTTTAGTGGCGCTATTTGTAAAGATAATTTGTAATGATTTTCAAAAAAAAAAAATGCAGCTCCTGTGATTTGTTTATGGCACCTGGCCATACTGCGATTCTGATAATAATGTGATTAACTGTGCAGCCTTGGTGTTTAAGTTTTACTTTTGTTGGTACTGTGATGTTGAGAGGACAGTGCTCACATGTTTGTTTAGAAATGCTTGCTGTTGTTGTAGTGTGGTGGCCAGGGTTACAGCAAATAACCACCCTTACAGTAGGCTGAGAATGAAAGGTAATGACTGGCCTTATTAACAGGAAAATACACTGAGATTAATGATAAAGTTACGCAGGAGCAGGGTCATCAAGGGTTAACACCTTTTGAAAGCTGTGCAAATTGGTGCTGATATCTGAGGAGAAGCCCTGGTTTCACTCAGAAACCAAGCCATCAAAGCACTATAATCTCCTTCTTTGTCATATTAGCACCTCCTGAGTTTAGAAAAAGAAAAACAAGCAACCAAATGTGATTTAATCTGGTCTTGTTTGTTTCCCACCACTACACTATTGACTCAAATCCTTTGATCATTTCAATGCTGACCATGTTCGCTTCTCCATGTCTTTTATCATCAGGTTTATATCTTCCTGCAGGAGTTTGTGTGAATCTGTGCGGGACAGCTGTGCATCAATCATGAGTTGTTATGGCTACCCCTGGCCAGAAATTCTGCGCTGTGACCAGTATCCTGCAGACCATCGTATGTGTATCTCCTCTATCACCAACAGCTCTGTTCACGCAGGGGGACGCAGAGGTAAGTAGCTGGCTAAATAAACACATAAGCTTGAGTTAACTTCATTCAACAAAAAATTCAATTAGTGGTTTGACCATTTCAGTGCCTCAGGCAAGCTGTCAGGATTGTGAGTTGGAGGAGGCCTCCTCTTCAAAAGATGCTCTGGAGACCTTTTGCAGGAGTGATTTTGGTGAATATCAGTATTATTTTATCTTAACTCTCTTAAGTTTTACATTAATTCTGGCCAATAAATAGACACAAACAGCACACTGTTTTCATGAAGTTGATGCCAATCATAATTTGTGTTCATCTGCTTTCTCCCCAGTTGTGAAGCTGCGTCTAAGACGGCTCAAGTACAGCCCAGTAAGCCTGTCTCAGTTCTCGCTGGCTGCCAAACTAGACGTTCTGAAGCACGGACCCCTGTTAGGTGGGCAGATATGCTCCCGCATAGAGCTGTGGTTGGAGAGGGATGCCACCTGTGTAAGGAACATGACACGGCACCATGCACGAGGCGGGACCTTCCTTGTGACAGGCACGGTGCAAGGGGAGCGCCTGGTGGTCAATAAGGCTTATGCCTGGCAAAGACGAGACAAGAACCTGATGGCAGCTGCACGCAAATGGAAACATCACAGATGCAGGAGCTAGGACTACATGTTAGACTGGAGGATTCGAAAGAACTGAGACGTGGAACAAGCATTAAAAAGCTATGCACGAAGGAAGGACAGACATTGCATTTAGAATTTTTGATTTAATACTTACAACTGTAATTCATGTATGGTCTGGTCTTTTCAAATATTTTCTATACTTCTACAGTTATGGAGGAGATCATAATATGCAGTCAGCTCAGCTGGTCACAAAGAAACTCATAAAGTGGCTCATGGTGTCTCTCAGGCAGTGGGGGTCAACATAATAAAAGATGTTTAATAGAAAATGTACATATCTGTGAATTTTAAGTAAATATCACTGGTCTATATTGGTATGGCTTTGAGTGAAAAATTAAATGTTGTGCTCTAAATCCTGATGAAACGCCATTTGTTCATGAACAGCTGATCATACCCAAAGACTACAGCGTGCTTACCAAATAGGAGAGGTTTCAGGCTCATTGTCCTCATCTCATGTGTTCTGTCTGGCAGGAGGGACACCTGCTGAACATGACCCACCTGCAAGTGGACAAGAGGCATTATCAACACATTCATGACATGAGGGTTTAAATGCATGGACGTTGCTATGGCTGCTCTGTGTCACAGTAAATACTGATAAATCTAGGCAGCAAAATCAGCAATTAAAGTTTCAGATGCGATTTACAGGGCTGGGGATTAATGGCCTTACAGCTGTTGGTGAATATGTGTAGTCATTACTGTGGGTGGCAGTGGGCAGTAATATGATGATAGTGTAATACGGCTGCAACCAATGCTTACTTTCATTGCTGATTAATCTGTTGACTATTTTATCAATTTCTGGTTAGTTGTTTGGTCTATAAAATGTCAGACAGTGGTGGAAAATATTGATCAGTGTTTCCCAAGGTCCAAGATGGTGTCCTTGAATGTCTTGTTTTGCCCACAACCCAAAAATATTCAGTTTACTGTCACAGGGGAGTAAAAAACAGTCCAAAAATACTAGTAGTAATCAGTCAAATCAGTGATGTCATACGGTATATGGTCTGAAAGTGCTCCATTGACAGTGAATTGGGAAAGATGGTTTTGATGACACTGATAGCACCCAGGGGGGATGTTCTGTACATTTTGTGATACAGGACGGAGGACACTACAATATAGAGCTCATTAGAGTAAAAGAGAAAACAAACATTCAGTGATCTCTCCTTCTCATTGTCCTGACAACACCACAAGTATTAGACTCCTCTGGTTTCTGGCTTTGACAGAGAGATGCTCATGTTCACAAATACTGATTGAACTTTCCAAGTCCATAAACATAGCAAACTGGATTTATTAATTTAGGTGGTATTTCTCTTTAAGAAGTAAGAATCACTAAATTATTTTATTTTTTTTTTTTTTTAAAAATGACTCAAACAGATGAATCAACTATCAGATTAACTGACTATTCCTACCCGTATCCCCTCAATGCGAGGTAGACTGAAACTTTGACTGAAGTCCTCCACATGCAGCTCTGTTGAATCTGGGGCAGGATGGGGCAAAGGGGCCCCGCTCTCGCTGACTGATGCTGAGGTGGCCCCGTCTCCACCCGCAAGATCCCTGGGGCCATTGTTGTAGTGCACATACAGCAGCAGGCCGATAACATTCAGGATGTACACATGAAAAAAGACCATGACCACCACGAAATAAGCCCGAGAGCAGACATTACTCCTCTGGATGTGCAGTCGAGTGGAGCGAATAGGCTCTTTGAGATATGATGGAGGTTTGTCGCTGTCGTTGTATTCTTCCTGCTCCATCAAATTTCCCTGAGCGTCTTCCATGTTTGCAAACGAGCGCAATGGAGAAACCTGGAGATAGCCTGTCTCTTCACAAGGTAAGGTTGCGTCTGTTTGATAGCATTAGCTAGCTGTCTGGCGTTAAAAAACCTAGCTAGTTAGTTAGCAAATATGTGGCTGTTTCGATAAAAACCTACGCTGTCGTTTCTGCTGCTTTTACCCAAAGAAACAGGGCGGCTCCGAGTGAAAAAGCAGGTATGGAAACAGTCGTTTTCTTTGATAAATAAATGTGTCATCATTCATTAAGGTCCCTTAATCCTGTGTTAGCTAGCTTATCTGGCTGGTGCGCTGCCCCTGACAACCTGCCTAACAACAAGGCGGACAAGCTAACGACAGCACATGAGCCGCCGTTTCAGGTCCCACAGTAAACCGCTAGCGGCCTCTAGCGGTCAACGCTGGAACAACACTATAGTCCGAACCATGAACTGACTTTTTAACACGCTGAAGAAAGACGACAATAATCACGACAAAAAATCCAACAATACTTTTATCAGATATTCACTTATTCCGGGAACAATACCACCTGCAATATATAAATGGACAGACCAGACTTCTGATGGTGAGACTCTATTTACTCTTCCAAACAAATATGTGCAGCCCAACAAAATTAAGGTTGCCAAATTATGAATTAAAATTATACATGGATATTATACAGTGAATTCTAGTGCTAATTATATTACGATTAAAAAAATAAATTCCAATTGGGGAAAAAAAAAAATGGAACACTATGATTCCATACTTAATTCCATCATTCTCTGCCTTTATGACATCACGTGCCTACAGCCCACCTCAGACCTATTGTATTCTGACGTCACGTGAAATTGTGTCTTGGAAGTTCTGCCTTTGATGTGAGAGGAGGGAAATAGGAGGACATACCACTTGTTTCTAGGCTAGTCTTAGGCTAGACTATCAACTTATCGTTGGCGTTTTTGCAGTCAGAGGACATTTTTGAAATTCAACTTTCAACTCCCTACATCAGCTAATATGTTGATCATTTTTGCGGGCTGGGTTGCACTTCCGTGGGTCCACAAAACTGTTGGTGGACTCATCAGGTCTGCTCTGGGACATGATTGCCCCAGTTCAGTCAGTGTTAACTCAGCAGAACCTGTCCAGGAACTACCCCCAGACAGGTTTTTTCCACCAACAGCCCCAACAGAGTTTTTGCATCAGGATGCTGTCGCAACACCTGACCTGGGCCATCTGACTGATGAAACTCTACAAAAAGGGCGAGAGCTTGGTAGACCTTTATGCAGCCACTCAGTCATTCCCAGGTTGGATTTGGGCAGCGAGAGGCCTACAGAGCAGGACAGCACTGCCGTATGCACCAGCGCTGTGATTTACAGGAGTCCATCAGGCGGCAGGAGGGTTAACCTTCCCACTTTTGCCCGCCACTGCTATCTGTTTCGGTCCAGTTTCTCCCCAGTGTTTGGGAGAGGCAGGGAACATATCGACACATTTGCCGTAGTGTCACCACAGCCAACAGTCCTCTCACTGCAAACAAGATGCGCAGATTTTTATTCTAGAACCAGATCAACTGTTGTGTCGTTTTTCCCCATGGCACAAGCAAGAATTGTGGCTTTTCGGGTCACGGTCAGAGATAGAGCTGTGTTTGTGTTCACCCAGGCTCAAGGAACAGTATCAACTCTTCTCTGGGTGACCCAAGCAAGAGTTGTGTCTCTGTACTCCAGAGCCCGTGCAGCTGTTTTCTGCAGAGCACAAAGAACTATTCAGGTTTTTTACAACATGGTTCCACCTTTTTTGTCCATGGTAGAAGCAAGAATTGTGGATTTTAGTCTCAGGATTATCGATGAAACTTTGCATGTTTTCACCCAGGCTCGAGAAACAGTATCAACTCTTCTCTGGGTGACCCAAGCAAGAGTTGTGTCTCTGTACTCCAGAGCCCATGCAGTTGTTTTTTCCTGGGCACAAAGTGTGGCACGTAATTTATCCATGACACGAGCAAGGATTGTGGCCTTTGGGGTCATGATCAGAGATGAAACTGCTGTTGTTTATACCTTGACTCATGCACTTGTTTCAGCTCTTCTCAGATTGACCCGAGCCAGAATTGCCAACGTTCTCTCCAGAGCCTGTGAAGCTTTTTTTTCCATGAGACAACAAACGATTTGTGCTATATTTAACGGGGCCCCACCAGTAGGTGTAGCACATTTTTTAGCCATGGCACGAGCGAGAATTATGGATTTGGGGTTCCTAATTATAGAAGAAACTGTGTTTGCTTTCATCGAGGCTCATGCAAGATTGTCCACTCTTTTCAGCATGACCCAAGCCATATTTGCGTCGTGTTCCTCCAGAGTCCTTGCAGCTGTTTTTTCTAGAGCACAAAGAACGTGTCGAGTTATATTCAACATGGTCCTACCAGTAAGTGTCGTACCTTTTCGGACCGTGGAAGGTCTAAGAATTGCACAATTCCTGACCATGACTCGAGCACGAATTGCACCTTTCTTGTCCATGACACAAGGAAGAATTGTGGATTTTGTGCTCATGATCATCAATGAAAATGTGCCTGTTTTCACCTGGGCTCATGCAAGAGTGTCAGCTCTTTTCAGAATGATCCATCCCAGAGTTGTACATTTTTTTTTTAGAGCCTGTGCAGCTGTTGTTTCCATAAGACAACGAATTACACAGGCTTTACTGAACTTGCTCTCACCACAAGTTGTAGCATATATTTGGTCCATGGCACAATCAAGAATTGTGGCCATGGTTCTAAATCAAACTGTGCTCATTTTCAGCCGGGCTCAAGCAGCAGGTTCAGGTCTTTTCAACAAGACCCAAGACAGAATTTTGTTTTCCTCCTCCAGAGTCCTTGCATCTGTATTTTCCCCCAGACAACAAATGATTCAGGCTGTAGTTAACATGATCCCAGTAGAAAAGATATCTCACTTTCTCGCCATTGTCTTTTTCATGGCATTTCTTAAGGAGATGCAAATGAATTTCCATGCATAGGCCTGGAGGAGGAACAACACCTGAATCATCAGAATTCTCCTCATTGTTTGGTGGCAGACAACAATGGCGGTTCTCGGGTTTTCTCCGGGCGCTCCGGTTCTCCCGAATGTTAAACAATTAGATCAATAAAATAACCTAAATTAAAAAAAAAAAAACATGTTTTGCATGTAATTTTTTGATGACACATCATTCACTTCACACAACATGTTTACCTTTATAGAAATTGTTTACTTTTACAGGGGTTTATTAATTTTGCTGACATCTTGACATAAACATTCATCATAAAGAAAAGCAAAAAAAAATGGCTACTCACATCCTTTAGGGACTGTTCCTTGCTTATGAGGGGCTAGGGTGGTGAAAAGGGGGAAGCATGTCAAATAATTTTTTAAGCACTCGGGAGGGATTAATGTTTTTTATTTTGTCTTGGGGAAGGGGCATACAACTCTAAATGGCTGTATTTTGAATTTATTTTATTGCTGATTTAAAAAAAAACAGCAAGACAAATTGCCTAAATTACACACTTCATCATAGCCAGAGAACTTATCATTGGTTTTTTACATTTCTGATGCGATGAATGCTTCAGTCAGACAAAAAAAAAAAAAGAAACAAATCTGAACCTAAGATCATGATATTTCATCAAAATCACTTTATTCTATGTCCTTCTTTAAATTTTGGCCACAGATAAACCATTGGCACTAACTAACCAGAGTGCATGACAAGTGAGAGACCAAGGCCTTTTGCAACTTTTTTCAACTTTTGGGCTAACAAAGAAAAAAAAAACAACTTTATTGAATACATTCAATACATGGACAATGTACATTACAGATTTTCAGTCTCAAAGTCGTAGAAAATATATCTTATAACATGAAAATAATGTAAAAATAAGTTGCACAGAAATAAAATGTAGGGAAAAGAAAGAAACATAACTAAAACAAAAATCCTCAGGGTCTATGAAACAGATGGAATAATACTGAAGTGTCTAAATAATTGTTTAATAATTGTTTTTTCCAGTTTATAATTTTTTAATTTTAGATTTTCAATAGCAATCAAGACTGTTTTAAAGTTGGTATCTCCAAAAATATAATAGGAGGGTGGTCTATTAGGCCAAATCATTTTATGCTTTGTTCTTTTCATCAGATGAGAAATTGGTATTGTTAAAAATAAGTAATTTATAAATCTTTGTTGGCGTGACATCTTTTATTCAGAATGTTTTAAAAGGATCCTCTGTAAATCAAATCAAAAATAAATGGCATGAAAACAACCTTCACATTTGGGAATAAACCACAGATCTTAGTTTTAACCTGTGTACAAGCTTAAATAGAAACTCCTTGATTCTATTTGGAAATATATAATCATGAGGTAACAGCAAGATATCGTCCATCGTTTTCTATTTAAGTATAACTATCTTGCTATCTTGCTCAAGATGACTTCTGCTAAAGGCGTTAATGCACTTTCTATCAGATATAGAGACTCCATTAATAGTAAGCGGGCGTTCTCTTAAAGGTAGTGCATTAAGGTAATAGGGACATTAGCAGTAGAGGTATTATCTGGTAGCTACTGTAGCTAGTAGCTGTCAAAAAATGCAGTAAAAAGTGTAATATTTGCCTCTGAAATGTTGTGGAACGCAAGTTTAAAGCAGCATATTATGGAAAAACTTAAGTACCTCAACTTAATGACCCTGTATGTTACACTGCCGTGGCATAATTGTGGGGTTGGGATCAGTATTGCACTTTAAAGTTACGCTATAGAGTTATGGGAACACCAAGAGACAAATTAGGCCACCCCTGCCTCCTAAATCTGCACCCCCAGTTTGTAACACAAGCCTTCAAGCTTATAGATTAAGATGTTAAATCTTGAGCCTACACTGAGATAACCTTGATGACATCAGCAGAGTAGGGTTTTTGACATTGAAAAGCTCCTTTTAAGGGCCACAGGAAATAGGCAGCGTGCCTCACATGTAAAATCAGCGTAGTGCCCATTGAATCCATCGATCAAAATTCAAAACATAAAAAGCTTTTAGTCCAAAAATGTCACAGTCAGCTCTCAAAACCCATCATAACCGTATAGAAATCAACACGTCATCTACATCTGTTGAGGTTCAGGAATTCTTTAAGAACATATATAGCCTATAACCTGTTGTTAAACAGTTAGCCCGAAGTTGCCAGGAAGAACCTTTTTTAATGATTAACACACCTGACTAAAGAAAGTAAGAAGTGCAAGTAAAGTAAGAGTAAAAACAAAGAAAGAAAAAGAAAGAGTGAGGCTGTGTTGTAAGTGGGGCAAATGAGCAAAAGCATGGCTGTAAAGATGCGTATGTGTACATAGCAGGTAGCTAAGCCATAGATTATTTAAGGTCCATT